ATAAAAGCGTTCTTCGAATACACGAATTAATCAATATTTCTTGGGCCGTATCGAGGATACAGAACAGTTTATTTTTATTTCGAGACAAGTTAAAAGCGAACGTGCGAGTTGTATTTCGATCGACAGCGATTTAGCTTTTGCTAGGCCATATTAGGTGGCTTCGCCCTACGGTTAAAAGGTAGCAGCGTGCGGTTGAACGGGGTTCGGTGAAACGTCCCGATATCGGTCAGTGATAACGATCAATGACCGGACAGAAACCACTGACCGCGATCAGGATAGAAACTGTTTATACTGGTGCACCAGGTGAGGCAGAGTGATGTACGTGCATTCACGCGTCCATTAAGCAATCGTAAAAATGAGACGTCAAACGACGTTAGAAGCGTGTCGGTATAGATTATTGGCACCCTTCTGTCGAGGGCTGCGAATGTAACATTTTTCTCGATATATTTATCATCGGGGGATAGGACAATCGTGCCGGCGCATTCACGACGATGGATTCTCTCGTCCCGTATTGGAGCGTACGTGTACGTGGCACTAGAAAGTAGATGGTATTAGAGGCACGACCACTGGTATATCTTTTTGATGTTCGGGTCCGTAGGGCCACTGGTCCAAAAATTCTGCCGAGTAACGCAGGAATTATTATCCGAAGAAGGGCTACAGGGACGCGGGAGAGGGGGGGAGGCGGTGGGGGGTAGCGGAGGGGAGCTGGAAAGAAAAGAAAATGGTCGTTAGGCGCGCGCGAAATGTGAGAAATGATCTGTCGACGTTCCCGTGGCCGTGGAAAAAGTCAACCGCGAGTTCAAAGAAGCCGGGGATTCAAAAAAGACTGAGAACCACGCCATTAAATGCACCGTGATCGAGCGAATTCCCTTGCGTCGGATTTAAGTCGAGAAGAGATTCGTCCCTCGAGAGACGTTCGCTTTTCGCTTTGTGTCTCCTAACAGTATGCAACTGCTCGAACCGTTAATCGTCCGGGAAAAAAGCTCTGGATTACTTTTGTTGCTATTTCCGTGGCCGTGCCACCGCTAAACTAAACTAGGATTTCGTCAACAGTCGCTGCAACTCGAAAAATCGTTCAAATGTCAGTTATAACAGTTTCTACTTATAATACATGAGAGTAACTAGCTTGAAACTAAGAAAAAGATCCATATTTGATTTGTCAAACATCTAGCTTCGAATAACTTTTAAATCCTTGGCATTCTATTTATTAATTTCTCAAAATATTCTCTATCTAAGCCGAAGATTAAGAATCTGACTTTAAATGCTTCGAAACGAGTGACTAAACGATACAAATACGGATACGATAGTCCTGTATGCTCCTATTCGTTGAAAAATTATTTTTAGAAAATAAAATATTGACAATGAACATAGTTAAAAGAAAGCTTCTTATTTAATCTTTTATATAATGAAAACAGATTTTTAATTAGGATGAGTTTCCCTATAAGGAACTTAAATTGCATAGCAAATTTTATGTCAGAGATTTTGAGACATCATGGAACTCAGTTAAGACAATATAGTTTTAAAAGAAATGCATTTAAAGTTTTTCATCCGTAAAATATACTTTTTAAACCAAATTCTTCGGAAATACTCGAAAGAGAAAAGCAAGAAATAATACAAATTTCGTATTGTGCTTATTTTTTATATAGTCGAATATAAATCTTATCTAGATTTATTTTCTATAACATTTCACCCGGAGAGTTAACAGTTTCACCTTCTTCTCCTTGTCAACGTGGTAATCGAATTATCCGTTTTCGTCCCCATCGTCAGACGCTTTTCAAAGTACTTCTCCCCGCCTCGGATACGATTGAAAGGTATTTTTTGCGCTTTATTCGAATCGGAGAAAAAGGAAAGAAATATTTCAGCCTATACAAGAGGAGATGCTTCGACTTCTCAAATTATAGGCGGCCATTATCGTGCGGTCGGTCCCGCATTTGGGCCAGACAATGGCCGCCACTACTAGTTAGTGTAATAGCCATCCCAGAGGTGCGATCTTCCTCTTTCTCGAGGTACCGCACTCACGACCAACAGAAGAAGAACGAAAAGCTAATTCTTCTTTTGTCGAACCGCCTGTCGCTCAGTTCTGCCCGACCCGTTCGAACGGTCCTCAAACAGTTATTATTTTATGAGATTGTTATCACTAATAACATTGTCCCGGAGGGAAAGACGATTCTGCACGTCGAAATTTCGTTGGTTCGAAATTATTTTCTCGTTCGCAATTCAAGATGAAACCGATTAATTAAAGCAATTTTTAAGTATATCGACGGAAACAATACGGATATTAGATATTTTGTACCCCATAAATCAACGGTTGAGCATCAGTCGAGGAAATAATTACTATAAATTGCGATTCTTTGTCATCGATCCAATTTCCATATTTACGCGACTTAAAATGGCATTGAAAGTTCATTTATCGCGTTTTTACTGGAAAAAGCCAGAACATTCTGTACTATGTTTCAGATAGTTTTTATAGTTTTTTTTTTAATTATTCGTCTGACTTTTTTTTCAAAGAAGGACATTTCTATTTCACCTATGGCCCATATATGGTCTTTCGAAATATTTAAAGTAAAAAATTTTGGAATTTTGTTGATATTGAAGGTAAAGCATTCACTCTCACGTTTACTATCCACGAAAGAAATTTTCTTTCGAGTAGATCTAATTTTTTAGGTGACTCTAAGTGCCTATATGTTCTCTCAGAAACGTACATTTAAATTAAAAAACCATAGAACATTGTTAATATTATACATTGTTAATAAGGTTTACGTTTACCATTTACAAAAAGAGTTTTGGTTCTTGTAGACCTAATTTTGCAATTTTTAGGGACAGATTGACTCTGTCGAGTGTTCTTACGTAGGTGTATATTCTCAAAAAAATGCATTCAAAGTGAAAAATCATATAATTTTGTTAATATTGTAAGGCTTAGTATCGTTAATATTCTAAGGTTAGTGTAGATGTATTTTTGCAATTTTTAGGGGCAGTTTGACCCTGTCAAGTGTTCCTACGTAGGTGTATATCCTCAAAAAGATGCATTCAAAGTGAAAAACCATATAACCTACCATTGCAAAGCTTACTATTGTTAATATTCTAAGACCAGTATCGTGACATTGTACACCAGAGTTTGTTCGTAAGTGTGGATGTAATTTTGCAATTTTGTAGGGACAAATTGAATCCGTCAAGTGTCCTTGGGCATTGTGCATGGCCGCCAGCGAACATGGATCGCGACTTATGCGTTACGTGTTTTGTGGAGCGACGATGAGGCAAACGGTCGTGCCAGGTCGTGTTCGGAGCGTGCGTAGGGGATGAAGTAGGGTAGAAACGGGGACGCGCGATTGGCCGTAGGGCGGGAACATTGGGGGTTGTTCAGACCAGCAGGTGGATCTTCAACAACACCCCTTTGTCCCTCAATTAGTTACGTTTTTTTTTTTCCTTTCCTGTCCCTCCTCCAAAATTTTACCTGTCCGTCGGCTACAGTCAGTTCTCAAGTACTGGCCTCCGAGACGGACAGTTTTAGTCGAGTCACATTAAATCCGGTTCGGTCGAATCATCCTCCGATGATTTTCATCGTGAATTTTTCCCCGCGTGCCCCCCGGTCGCCGAATCGAGGGAAACGCGATACGTGATCGGTTCTTAACGAATTTTCAATGTCGAAACATCGATAAACGTTCGCTCGATCGGTTCGTAAACATCGCGACGTGGTCAGTGATTCGGTTCCTGTAATAAAATGGGACGATAAAAGCTTCTAATCGTGCATTGTGCATTGTGAAAATGGTGAAACAAACTTAATACGTTCGATGAAGGGAATTTAGTGGAATATCGAGGGAAAGAAGACAGTTTTCGCCGCTAGAGTTACGATTTGGGATTTAGTAGAAAATGTAATGTATTATTAAAATTCTATTAGCAAAACTGCAGTGAGCGAAACTTTGTTTCCATTTAGTAATTAATAATTTCTATCCCTTTCTTTACATTTTTGCTACGAAATTTCTATAGTTTTCTATCATTGTTGCGTTGTTATATTACTTTCAAACGTTTGTTGTTTTAATTTTTGTCATGTAACGAGGGAATTTAATGGACAAAGAAAACATTAAAATGACAATTATTTGTATTTGATTTACATAGAAGGAATTATCAAACACAATCCTAAACTTACCAGTCATTTAAGTACGTGTCCAATGGAATTAAAAAATATTACAAGTATTTCATCTGAATCACAAAGGCCTTAAAGCCAACTTTATCCACCAAACTATTAGATTATAAGATTGAAAAGCTACAGAAAATTCTGGCTAGAAAAAAATTACATTGACTGAAAATTGACGCTTCAACCTTATAAAAAAGAATTCCCAGTATGTCAAACTTGTAATACGTAAACTACTATTCATTAATATTAAAATATAGTAGAAAAATGTGTCGAAGCTATAGAAATTTCGTTCAAGTTTCTGTCAAACATAAGTATACTTCCCTAATGTAAAAAAAGAAACAAAGATTTATTTCCGTTTCTTAATTAGAGTTCTAAATGTCCTGTTTCCTCGATAACAAGCATTTCAAAATGAAAGCACACGTGGAACTGTGAAAATTTTTTAAAGCGACCTCGCTCTGAGTAATACGAGCGCGGTTTCTTTTGATCGTTTTAACGTTACAATACCTGCTAGAAGTTAATCACGACCTGCAGCGAACGATAGTTAGTGGTACACAATGTGAAAACTGCGAAACATGTGGTTGACAATGGAAGAACGTAGTTTCTCGTGCGGTGTACAATCTTGCGAACAATTAAATGATTCTAAATGATCCTCGAAAATGGTCGTCGTGCACGCGAACCTGTTTACGCTTACTTACGTCCCGTAAACCGATAATTTGTTCGAGTATAATATTCCTTCTGTGAGTCATACTATACGAGTCATTATCATACTCGAAACGTACGAACGCGAGTAATTCAACGTCGTTGAACAGTACTCGGTCCGTTGTTTCGAAGAACCATGCCCTAATTGATAGGTCCGCGTGTGTTACAGGTGAATACATACTCAGCTCTGGCAATCAAGAAGGAACCGGAAGCAACTCGGCCGAGGAGGACAATCAGCTGCTCAGGAACGCGTCACTGGACTTAGACAATCCGTTGGCCGGATTAACCGATGATTCTTTGGGATTAACCAACACCTTAGAGCTCGAAAATGATTTCCCTTCGGACTTACTCGGAGGTGGTCTCTTAGGAAGCGCTAACGTCGAAGGTTTCCTCAACAACAATACTCTAGGTCTTCCCGACGGATTCAATCTCGAAGAGGCGCTACAACTCGTTGGCCTCGATGAGGCTCAAACAGAGGTTTGTGCAACGTTTCCGTACTCACAAATACCTTACGCGATCAATACCTAACTTTTAGATGGTTAACATTCTGAAATTGACGAGGGTGAAACTCGTAACTTGGTAGAAAAATTAAATTTATTGGTTTAGGGGATTTTTGAAATGTGAGACATCAATGATTAACACTGGAACTATCGGGAGTGGTCAAAATGACTCATTCGATGGGGCTCAAACAGAGGTTTGCGTATTCAGAAATACCTTACGCGTTCAATACCTAACTTTTCGATCCTTAACATTCTGAAATTGACGAGGGTGGAACTCGTAACTTGGTAGAAAAACAAAATTTGCTGGTTCAGAGGATTTTTGAAATGTGAGATATCAATGATTAACACTGGAATAACACTTACAATATTTAAGTGAAAAATACATAACAATACACCAAAAGAAAATCAACCTATATTTAAAAAAACAAGAAAATAACCTCTACAGAATTGATCGTTCAGATATTTCAATAGAAAGTCGCAAATATGTTACAAAATGAGTAATAATTATAAGAAATGAGGATTCAGGAGTTCCAGGACAGATATACATAGATTACATATCACAGATACCTTTTCTACGTTTTCATAATTCTTTCCTAATTTCCATCCATATAACGTAACACTGTAAAACCACTTTTTATACAGCGGACAGTCTACGAGCGATTTGCATTTATAAATTAGAATTAAACGCTCCAATATACTAATCTCCCCACCTAAACATCTCGAAAGATATATTTATTTTAACATTTATCACGACGACTGTTTTTAACGTAAAAATTTTAACGAAAATCTATATTTTCGAGATACGATTGAGTTTTGTCTTCTCGATACATCATTCTTGGAGATAGAAACTCCGAGGCTTGATATTACGGCCGAGAGTTTCAACGGTTACCAAGCTAAGATTATTAAAAAATTCTATGACGCGCGCGTTTATATTTTACACGTTCGTTTCCGATAAAAATTGTAGACACTTGTCTTCGATGTTAACGTGACGTGGACATTGTAATATCAAGGTTTGTTAAATAGGAAACGAAGCCGGAAGTGAAGAAAAAGAAAAAGGACAGTGAAGAGGAATCCGCGAGTGCAAAGGACGAAACGGCCATTACCACCTCGAACAACATCGAGGTCGAGAAGTTATCCAGGTGCGAAGATTCTGAGACAGGCGACATGATTCACACACCGCAATTTCATCATCCCCATCATCCGCACCATCGTTCCTTTCAGGTATGTACAATCTTGAGTTTATTGCCCTTTTTTAAATTATCGCGATCGCGCGGGACCTGCACGTTTATTATTTTTACATGGTTATATTATTTTTAGTTATATTTAATTTCATTAACAGCCTTTCATTTCTTTCGATTACCTTTTCCGGTTCGTTTCTTTTTTTTTAATTCTCGATATTGAAATTACTTTAATTTTACCTATATTTTTATCAGTAAAATTTAATTACAGATTTCTGACATTAATTTCATTTTCGATATGTATTATAGTTCCATTTATTAGAAAATTTGAACCGAGTTACAGACAGCAAATACTGCATACTTCTATAAACGTCTATAGCCAAAATTCTAATCTAAACAAAAACTTCAAATAGCGAATGAAGAATAAATAACACTGTATCCGTTATTTATTTTAATAAAATTGGAAATTTGAGTTATAAAATGAAACATTCACCGGCAAACAAATAAAAATTGAATATAAAAGGAATGTTACGTAAATATGGGTATCGATACTAGAGCAAGGTCTAATGCTACTTATTATGCGAGCATTAGAATAAATATCAAAATTAAAGAAATCGCTACAAAGTACTAGAATAAAGATCTTCGCCTTATCGCTGCTGAACTCGACAAGCGAGACAGTATTGTTAGAAAAATAAAGCAGAGTTACTAGCTTAAAACGAACATCGTATCGCGAAGGGGACAAATAAAAGTAATCGAAAGATCTTAAATAATTAGGATGGAAAATATATTTTCCGTACACTTATGTTTTATCGCGTCTACCAACAACATATATCTTTTGTTTAATTCGCCCTTTAGTTTTTCGATGATTATGGATTTTCTCAAGAGATTAGACTTTAGCAAGCATTAATTCCTTGAAAAATGATTTGACTCTGGGATCTGTGCTTGGAATTTGCATCTATCATTTGGTCGTCTTATTGAACTGAAGAGGATTTAACACTGGATTTACTAATCGGTCAAAAAACTCATAAATACTATTTTTTAGCAATTTATGTTGAATTTGTTTGATGCAATGATACGAATATATATCCTAATAAAAATAAAAATAGCATTTTAACGTGACCGTCCACATTGCAGAATTAAAGATTGCCATAATTACTGCGTACAAGGATGTCCGCGAAGAAATGTTTTGGAAACTAATTAATAGCATGTCAAATCGTATTTTTGATCTTATTATAAAACAAAGCGATTCTAGTAATTATCAAGATGTTTCTATTCTATGAAATTTTATAATAAAAAGCATATTCACAAAGATAAAGAATACATTGTTACTATTAGGGACTTATATTGATATTTTATCATTATTTTCCGGTTATACCTTCGTAATCTGTTTTATTTGATATAATTAAAAATATCCCAGAAGTATTGTAGAAATATAATTAAATATGTATGTATATCTTAATTGAAATTTAAGTTTCAATTTTATGTTTGTTATAGTCGCACAGTGTTACGGTTGTTTTTTATCTTCCCTTTTACTACACTGATATTCTTGTAGAAAAGTTCCAGATCTATAGAATTTATGAAAATATTTTTACAATTTTGATAAAACAAATTTTTTAATTAATTTACCATGTTACACTCATAATGAAAATCATAAAGATTGTATCGTAGGAAGTACTGCCTCGGAACAATAACAGCATAAGAAATTTAGTTGAAAAAAAATTACAATTCTACGAAGTAATACTTGGTAATTATTCACAGAAAAAATGAAAAATTAAACATTATTCTTCATTAACGAAAAAAAATGATAACCGTATCGTACGTCAAATCGTCTTCGCATTAAAAATCGTACTTCGCATTAATAATCAGTATATTTACATAATTAAATATTTCTGGCCTGAAATTATATTTTCGGTAAGGAATTTTTTTCTCGAAAGTACGTAGGATTTCAAGGTTATGCCTATTCACAAAAAATAATTGTAATCGACTCCTGCAACTAAAAATATTTTTTCCAGAATGATTTGAAAATTTTTCTTTTTGCCGAAAAATTTAGGCACCTTCGCGAATTTTTTTCTAGAAATTGGGTAGGATTTTGGGACTATGCCTATTCACCAAAAATGCTTATAATTGGCCCCCACAATCAAAAATAATTTTTTCAGAATGATTTGAAATATTTTAATTTTGACAAAAAATTTGTCCACTTACTGAATTTTTTCCTCGAAAATGCGTCGGATTTCGGAGCTATGTCTATTCACCAAAAATGATTCTAATTGGCCTCCGGAGCCAAAAATAATTTTTTTAGAACGATTTGAAAATTTTTCTTTTCGCCGAAAAATTTAGGCCCATGTCGATGTTTCTTAAAAATTCATTTTTCATTTTTAATAATTTTGTCTGACGCCCTACAGAAAAGTTGTCTAATACTTTTTTGTAGGTACCCATGAGCTCTACTTCAGAAAAAAGTTTCATTCAAATATATTCACTATTGTAGGAATTATTTAAATTGGACCAATTTTATGGGGTTTGTCTCATTTTACGGTGTCAAGGAGCAACTTTTCCAATATTTTTAAAATTTCTACATATTCTTCACTAAAATACGCGTTGATTGCCGTTTGAAACATTAAAATCGCCCAATCCGTTCAGAAGATATGACGTTTTAAAGATACGCCTGTAATTTCGAGTGACATTTCTAGTCTGAAATTATATCTTCGGTAAGGAATTTTTTTCTCGAAAATGGTTAGGATTTCGAGGGTATCTCTATTGACAAAAAATGATTGTATTCGACCCTTGCAATCGAAAATAATTTTTCCAGAATGATTTGAAACTTTTCAATTTAATTTTTTAATAGCTTTTAACGAAGCTTGATATTCTTGATTTTCGTCTTATTTTGGCCCTTAGAATCTCCCATTAAAATTTTTCCCTGTGGTGGTCGAACACACTGTATACAGATGATCTTCTCGTCAAAGAAAGAGTAGCGAACGCTAACGAGAGACTACAGTGGTTGACCTTTAAATAGAAAGAAGATGGGGCTTCGAAAAATTTTACAATTTTCGTGCACCAAGTCCCCCTAGTTGTTCGAGGGGCAACCGTGGTCCGAAGAGAATCATCGCGACGAGGAGTCACGTCGTTAGACAACCGTAGAATCGTGACAATGACCTACCGAGATAGTCCCCAACGGCCGGTGAGACGTAACCTAATGCGTACGTGCAGAGGACTCGCATGCACGTGGAGAAATACACCTGAAAAGTTCCGCCAATGGGAGAAGTCGCAGGCCCCTTCCATGATCCTTGTCGAGTACGATCACGATCGCGTTGTATTCCTGCGGCTGACACTCGCGGACGACACGCGGTTCGAGGTAAACGCTAACCTTCCGGAAAATCGGCGCGCTGTTTTCCCGTCACTGGCAAATTTCCCCCCCGGCTTCGTTCGCCCCGTGGAAATTCGGTTCAGAGAATTGTGATCGAAGTGCAGTGCGAGAGGAACTGTAACCCTTCGACCGTTCGCTAGTCGATTCGCTTTCGAAAATGTAGAGCAAAGTGTGCGTCCGAGGAACACTCTGACCTTCCGTTTCCGGCGCTTCGAAACATTTTTAAACACTTTCGCGGCGTTCGTCGAACGCTCGTCGTTGGGCGTCGGGTTTCGTAAAAGTGGAATTTTTGGATTTTCGTCCGTGGCGATAACTCTCGTGCCTTGACTCGGTCCTGAGAATATCTACGATGCTCGACACGCTAACAGCGGTGGCTAAGCGAGACGACCGGTTGCTCGCGATGCAAGAACCCTGAAGAGGAGGATCGTCCTGCGATGGGCTATCGTGTCTCGACCGATTCCTAAGTTCCGTGATATCCCGAAGGAAACCGTATCTCCGACACGACGCTGTCGACGCGTTCCAATGCGGCGCTTTTAAACTCCCCTGCCTCGATAGATTCGACGACTCGACGACACCGAGATCCGATCAGCCACCGAATTAACGCCCAACGGGAAAAAATCAGGCACGAATGACGCGCAACAATTGGTTCTTAAATGCCATACGAGCAGCAGTACCAAGCTAATTCAGAATGTTGGAATCTGGTCGTGGACGAAGGTCTTTTTCAGGTACATATAAGCCATACGTTATCATACTCCAAGGTAAATAATTATATAATGAAGTAACAGACGCAGTAGAGAAACGTCGATTTACGAAGGATTAAACATTCAAAGGCTGAAAAGTGGTTTAATGATCTTCGACGTCTAAATTATACGTTCAACGAGTGTAATGAGCGTCTTGCTAGCTTTGCATATTCAATATTGTACCGCTTAAAGTACCATATACTTTTCCGTAATTTTCAAGATTCGTTTAGTAATCGTTGTCGCGCGAACACGAAAAAAATTTTCTATATCGGGATCGACGTTTTTGGCGGGTGCCACGTTGGGCCATTAATTTCACGAGTTTCTGTTTTAATTAACGATTGACTCTCTCTCTCTTTCTCTGTGGAGCGTGGCGTGTCGTGGCGCGGCGATTCTAATAAATTTTTATAAGAAAAGGTGCCCGAAGGAACACACCCTGGTTGAATTCGTGTTCGTGATAGTTGCACGTATACACGGGTCTCGTGACCTTGTCTCCGGCGTGGAAGTGCGCAGAGTTGATGATTCCGAAGGCTACGTGTAATATCCAGTGACGAGCGTCTACACGTAATGAGCGCACTAAATTAATATACATATAGAATCCACTGTCAGGACCTTTTGCCTAAGAGAGGAACGTATTGTGCGTATTGTGCAGCGGTATTACGCAAGAAAACATGGTATCGTCGCGCGCGAACCGTATCATTTTTGGAACTCTTCTCTCACGCGACTGTCGTATTAACACTGACCTCGGTCACCTGTAATTGCTATGTGCTACCGTATGTCAAGATGTGGACAATGCACGTAATACGGCCCATTATGCCAGGCTGCCGCACAGGTTATGTTCTTACGTATCGTCGGATTTTTACTGCTCCGCGATGCCTCTGAAAGAACCTTGAACGAGTCACATCACCTTTGATACCGGAACACCTTGCTGCCGACGCAGCTTTT